TAAGAAAATAATTCTATAAGAAATAATGATCTATTCAAATATTCAAGAGATTGGTCGATAATTATTTATATCTAACTTGTTACGTTACCCAATTTTTTTGCTGACTGGTGTAACTTTAGAAATTGTAGACTACTTCTCTCAGGTACACAGTGCCGGATGGGAGGGAAAGTTGAAAACATATTTTCTGCTGGTTTAGATATATAATGCTAATCTTTATAGGGATACCAGCAGAATCACAATGACGTGGTTTACACGCGAGGGTCCTCTTATACATCATGCTTTAGCAATTTTAAAATTGTATTACGGGGCGATTTGCTGCTAGAGACTTTTATTGGAAGGCCAAAAGCAACTTCTACAACTGGACTCCACTACTAACTAACTGAATTATCTCAATGCATCCTTTTTATATGGATTTGTAGAATAATCAAATTAAATGACAGGTTGTCAAAATTATCCGATATTTACTAATACATCTGTGGAGGCGTTGCCTCTTAATTAAAATAGGAAAACTAAGAATATCTGAGTTGCGACCGAATGATTCAAAATTCAGGTTTTGGACGATTAGAATACAATTTACAAGGAAGCGTTTGGTCATAGAAAGGTCAGCTGTTACAACGGTTTAAACGGTTTTAGGGCACAGTTTACGTATCCCACTAACTTACATCAGGGGCAAAGAGTCATATTCATCATAGAACAGGTCTAGGCCTGACCGAAAAGTTGCATAAGATCAAGGTCGAATATAGCTTGTTCGTACTACTCGTAAGAAACATGTGTGACTTTATACGTTATGACTTGCCTTCAAGACCAACGCCGGCTTGTAACTCGTATTTAAAACATGCCTGACATTCGTTAATGATTATATAAGATGAAATATTTTTTGGAGTTAATATGTTTCTTTGATTGTTGTCCCGTAACAATTGCAACATTAATAAAGTAAGGACAAGTMAACTTGATCCCTGAATCTTATATTATGCTATTAAATTATTAAATAAATTTCAACTATCAAATGAAAGGTAAGAAAAGAGCATTAAAAACTACAAAGGATTTTTTTTATTTACATGGTAAAACAACCCGAAAAAAGTTTTGCGCACTTCATCCAGTAACCCAGCACTTAGAAAGCAACTAACAACGTTGACCCCCATTTTTCCTCTTATAAAAGAAAACAACGATTACGAAAACAGACGAACGAAGGAAGGAATATATTTATGATTGACGTATTTTTGTACCCCAATTAATTTCTCTTTTTTTTATAGATGCGGCAGCTATTACAGGTTGGTCGTACCCTTCATCTGTAACAGGAATTCAGGGGCAGAACATCACTATTACATTTGTTGCCAATCTATCCGACCATGCTTCAGGAGTAACATGGAAATTTGTGAGAATAATGAAGGACGGTAATCAAATGATAAGCATCGAACCTGGGGAACAAAAAACAGTGTACTCTCCATTTGACAGTCGTACGTCTGACCTTGATCTAAATGTCAATCAGACCGACGCTATAGTAACCATCAAACTCACATTATCCAGTTTGATGAAGGCTACAGACGAAGGACAATACTCAATCAATCCGCTTGGAACTAGTGACTTCCAAGGAGGTGCCCCTAGTTCACCCACAGCGCTGTCCATAAATGGTAAGGGCTGCTAAAATAACTCATAGTTCCACATGTTATTTCAGTTCAAAAACTAAGGACTCGTGCTCAGTAGGTCCATTGTAGCTCGATCTACTGAGTTTGGATCGATCAAAGCTCAGTTTTCGAGAACTTTTGCACTATATACGACCATGAATAAACAACAACAAAAACACAGGTAGCCTAAATAAAGCCAACTAATTTTATAATGTCTTGTATGTCGAACATCAAATCAATACATAACTTTGATTTCTTGATTCTTTTAATGCAGTACAGACAGCTATCACAAGTTCAAGCCCAAGTATTGTCATTGTTAACGAAACACAGACTCCACAGTTTGTATGTACTGCAACTGGTCACCCCACACCCAGTATTAACTGGACAAGAGATGGTGTGATCGTTGGCACAGGAAGCCCATACAATACACCAGCAGTTACATCTAACGATGACAAGGCGTGTTATACGTGTGTAGCTTATAATGGAGTCCTTGATACCAAGACCGCTAACTTCTGTCTAAACGTTCAATGTAAGTATGGAACTTCTTAAGGCAAACTATCAAAGTATCCAATCACGTTTGTGTAAACTTTACTTTTTCAAATACAAGAACAAGTTTTTTTAGAATTAATTTAAAATTAGTTGCTTTTGGAATTTTCTTTTTCCCCCTCTTGTTTCCATACTGAATTTATTTTTCTTGATTCTTATTCCTTGTTTGTTTGTGATGAATGCACAATTTCATGTAAAATAAAAGTTCGTCCTCACGAATTTGTATTGAATTGCACGTACCGTATAACGGATTACATTTTGATAATGATGGATTTCCACTTCTAGACAAACCGAAAAACGCAACAATTTTGAGTGACAGATCAACAGTTTGCCAGAATGATAAGGTGAATCTGACCTGTACATCAGGACCAGCCAACCCAGCACCCAGCAGTTACGAGTTTTATGACAATGGTGTTCTTGTTAGAACCAGTGCATCTAACGTTTATGAAGCTACAGCTACTGCAGGCTTGCCATCTGTAAACAAGTTTGTTTGTGTACCAAGAAATCTTCTGGGAACCTCCTTGAAAAATGGAAGTGTGGAAGTGACTGCAAAAGGTAGTTTTATAATATTTCTTTTGATTTCCGAAGAACAAATAATGTTCAATAAATCCGACGAGCAAAAGAGTAGTGTTTTTAGATCGCTAAGTTGACTTTTTGATAAACTTTAGTTTTGTATCAATAGTCCCCTTCACAGTTCCTTGCGCCATCTTGAAAGGTAGCCGTGCCTTTGCATCGAAGCGAGACGAACGGTGAGCTTGCAGTGATAGAAACATGTGAATAATTGCTCAAGGTGTTAAAGAAAGGTCTCTATCATTGCAAGCTTGCCGTTCGTCTCGCCTCGATGCAAAGGCACGGCTACCTTTCAAGATGGCGCAGGGAACTGTGAAAAAGACTATTGTCGAAATTTTTTTACAGCTGAGCTAATGTTTCGTATTGATATTCAAGCTTCCAAATAAGTTACACGAAAGAGACTTCTGATAGAAGCTTATCATATTAGACGTTATTCACAGGACGGCTAAATAGCTGATTATCTCCTAACTACAGCTTTTTCAAAACAGATTTATTACAATCCCTCTATTTTTAATAGTGTATCATTTTTATTATTTTATTTTTCACTTTTTAGTGGCACCAGCAATAGTTACGTCACCTCTCTCCACGACTCTTTTGGAGGGAAGTTCTTTAACATTGTTTTGCAATGCCTCTGGAGTACCTGCACCTAACGTCATGTGGATCAAGGATGACGGACTCATTGTTGGCAGTACTGAGACATTTACCATAAGTAACGTCAAGAGAGGAGACGAGGGGTTCTACACATGCACAGCAAGCAACAGCTTTGAGTGCAGCAGTGCCGCTGCTGTTGCAACTGTTGTTGTAAACTGTAAGTCATTCTATACAATTGTCTATTACATATGATATAAAAATATTTATATGAATGAATTCTACCATGAGTAAAACCTGCTTCATAGAAGATTAATACCGGGCAATGTGCAATGAAGTTGTGAGCTTGTATCACKAGTATTATTTCAAATTGAATTTTCCATTAACATCATTAATTAATTATTTTAATGTACGCCAGAAAAAAACTATTATACAACCAACATGATTACAAAGATTCCCTCCCCTAGCACCCAAAATATTATTATCAAGGCATTTTGAGTATGTTGCTATCAAGACCTTTTTAAAAACATTTCATTCTATCCCATCCTTTTCTAGACAAACCACATCTCACGACCCTGACCAGTACAAAGACTGAGGCCTGCCTGAATGACTCAGTTACGTTACAATGTACAACAACTGCCAACCCACCAGCACATGAATATCGCTTCTACTTGAATGATCAGCTTGTACATACCAGCATGTCTGGAGTCTATCAGTTGAATGTTCCACAAGCAGGCAATAACACATACAAGTGTGAAC